GTGCTGAGAAGAGAGGAGAAGGAAATTTTATTGTTTGGAAGGAGAATCCCTTTCTAATAAAACTTCAGGAATCTGAAATGTTGGTGTATTTTTTTTCTGGACTCTTTTTCCCTACTTGAACCTGGTTGAAGCTCACCATGTTTGACTTTCACTTAAAATCTGTCAAAAATAACACCTTCTCGCCGAGATGTTTTGAAATGTGAGATTATATGGTATTTCAGACAATGCTATTATGGCCTGCTTGGACTTTGTTAGGGTAATGCTTCTCTGCAACGTTTTTGACATCCACCCATTTGGCAAACATTTCCTTCATCAATGAAGTAGGGGCTTCCTCAACCTCCTTGGGTGTTGTATGCCAATCAAAGGTTGCATACCAGGGTGATTCAACTGGCGGCCGGTGGGCCAAACCTGATCTACGAAGGCCTAACAGGTAGTCCACTTATTATTGCCAGTTGTATTAATTATTGACCATTCTATGCTGAAGCTCAAGCTTTTGGCCAGTGACAATTCCAATTTTTAACATTCTGAACCCTGAGTAAACTTAGTTGAACAACCCCAACATAAGCCAAGCAAAATTCTTCATGTCTAAACGGGACACATACCAACATCTAACCAGAGTCACTTTCACGCATCTGAGAGTAGATGTTGTGTTATACTAGTCTGAATGTGACTGCTCAACACAATATTTTTACAATGCTGTACTATCAGTGTCAAACATGGACACTATTTACAGAAGAAAAAATAGTCACAACAGACATTTAATCTTTACCTATCAAGCTATGTGTTAACAAGAAAAGATCGACTTAAGTATAATGATATCAGGAGGAGAGATGGTACAGAACTAATACCGGTAAACAATTGATTAAATGGTTAGTTCTGACAACAAATTGGCAACAGAGAGGGCATCATAAAGTGCAATGTTACACAGATACAGCAGTAACAGTGTCAGAGGTGGCTCATGGAAATATCAGACTATTGAAAAGTAATGTTTAAGGTAGAGAACAGAAGGATTTGTTCCAGAGATCTTTTCCTGCCCTGACGCTATGACACATTTCAGGAGCAGAAAAGTTAGAAGACCTTGCAAATGAAAAATCACTGACTGGAAACACATTAGATCATCGACTTTGTAGGTATTAGATCATTAACCTTGTAGGTATTAGATGACTCATGTTTGCAGGTGATAAATCACCGACCTTGTAGATATTAGATCATTGACCTTGTAGGTATTAGATGACTCATGTTTGCAGGTGATAAATTACTGACCTTGTATATATTAGATCATTGACCTTGTAGGTATTAGATGACATGTTTGCAGGTGATAAATTACTGACCTTGTAGATATTAGATCATTGACCTTGTAGGTATTAGATGACTCATGTTTGCAGGTGATAAATCACTGACCTTGTAGATATTAGATCATTGACCTTGTAGGTATTAGATGACTCATGTTTGCAGGTGATATATCACTGACCTTGTAGATATTAGATGATTGACCTTGTAGGTATTAGATGACTCATGTTTGCAGGTGATAAATCACCAACCTTGTAGATATTAGATCATTGACCTTGTAGGTATTAGATGACTCATGTTTGCAGGCGATAAATCACCGACCTTGTAGGTATTAGATCATTGACCTTGTAGGTATTAGATGACTCATGTTTGCAGGTGATAAATCACTGACCTTGTAGGTATTAGATCACTGACCTTGTAGGTATTAGATGACTCATGTTTGCAGGTGATAAATTACTGACCTTGTAGATATTAGATGATTGACCTTGTAGGTATTAGATGACTCATGTTTGCAGGTGATAAATCACTGACCTTGTAGATATTAGATGATTGACCTTGTAGGTATTAGATGACTCATGTTTGCAGGTGATAAATCACTGACCTTGTAGATATTAGATGATTGACCTTGTAGGTATTAGATGACTCATGTTTGCAGGCGATAAATCACCGACCTTGTAGGTATTAGATCATTGACCTTGTAGGTATTAGATGACTCATGTTTGCAGGTGATAAATCACTGACCTTGTAGGTATTAGATGATTGACCTTGTAGGTATTAGATGACTCATGTTTGCAGGTGATAAATCACTGACCTTGTAGATATTAGATCATTGACCTTGTAGGTATTAGATGACATGTTTGCAGGTGATAAATCACTGACCTTGTAGATATTAGATGATTGACCTTGTAGGTATTAGATGACTCATGTTTGCAGGTGATAAATCACTGACCTTGTAGATATTAGATGATTGACCTTGTAGGTATTAGATGACTCATGTTTGCAGGTGATAAATCACTGACCTTGTAGATATTAGATCATTGACCTTGCAGAAAGTCAATCCTGAACATGTAGATATTATATCACCGACCTTGTAGGTATCTGATCACAGATGTTGCAGATGATAAACAACTGACCTTGTAGGTATCTGATCACAGATGTTGCAGATGATAAACAACTGACCTTGTAGGTATCTGATCACAGATGTTGCAGATGATAAACAACTGACCTTGTAGGTATCTGATCACAGATGTTGCAGATGATAAACAACCGACCTTGTAGGTATCTGATCACAGATGTTGCAGATGATAAACAACCGACCTTGTAGGTATCTGATCACAGATGTTGCAGATGATAAACAACTGACCTTGTAGGTATCTGATCACAGATGTTGCAGATGATAAACAACTGACCTTGTAGGTATCTGATCACAGATGTTGCAGATGATAAACAACCGACCTTGTAGGTATCTGATCACAGATGTTGCAGATGATAAACAACTGACCTTGTAGATACAGAATCACTGACCTTGCAGATAATAGTTGGCTGCTGGCACCTTTCCATCTTTCCCAACGATAGTGTTATACTGTGCTATGAGGAATCATGGGACTCACAGCCCATGGCGTGGTGAGCCTGACCATCAAGACCCGCCAGCATTAAGAAACATTTTCCACAATTTCATAAACCCCCCTACCCCCCCCCCCCCCCCCCCCCCAACTAGTACATATTGTTGCCTTGATAGAAAATTTAGGGTTTTCATCATGTTCTAATTTTAGCTGCAGGCCCAGGTTTGATCCTCAGGAAGGAATGGATTGTGTGTGTGTGTGGTCAGGAGCAAACATAACAATCCTAATGCAGATATAAACAATACTTAGCACAAGGTATTGTTGGGGGCATGAATATCTTGGACGGCCAGAGTAACTTACAACGACTGCTTGAAAGAGGCTAGTAAAAGTAGATCTCTATGTACAACAATTAGAAAGAGACAAACACTGTTGTTTGGCCACATAATGAGAAGAGAGACATTGGAGAACATCGTGACAACCGGAAAGATCAGTGGAAAAGAGGTAGAGGCAGACCGAGAGAGATGATGCTGGATGGGCTGAAACGATGGCATAGAGGGATATCATCAAGAGAGCTGTTCCAGGCAACCAGGGATCGTGAACTATGAAGATGAATGAGCGCCTATGCCAGTTGGCAGGGCCCATGATAATGATTATTGTTGGGCATATTTCGCTGCATCTCATAAGGTGCATTACTGCAGTTATATCAAACTGACAATTAATTATGTGTGTGTGTGTATATATATATATATATATAGAGAGACATTTAATTGTCCATTTGAAGTTACCCTGATAAGTCACGTGACTTATCGTGAACTTCTGGTGATTTGACGACAATGGATCACAAGAGACCATTTTGTATTGTAGCTGAATTTATTCATTTCTATGCTTTATTATATTTTGAAATAACTGCAGTAATGCACCCGAGATGCAGCCAAATATTCCCGGCAATAAATTGTGCAATGTATTGTTCATATCTAGTAAAGTAAAGGACGCTTTTCCCACGCCTTTATGAGTATAGGGTATATAGAGCTAGACCTATATTTTTATAGACCAATCGGCACAAGATGGGGGATGTGATCAGTATCACGCTGGCCGCCTCTATTTCCCGGGACTGCACCCTGTATCCACTCAAGGCTGGGTCGACCTGGAAGCCAAGGTCATTTTTGAAAAAAGTCTGGCTCCTCCAGGGAGCGAACCCACGACCTTCCGATCTGCGGCTAGCGTCTAGCCGCTCGTTGTTTATAACTGCATTATTTAAATTCATTTCAGGAAAACATTGTTTTAAATAAAAATCTCAATCGACAGTTTGTGGTGACTGCACTAGCCATGTGGCCTTCAATCCTCAGGCTCATGACACACACACACCCCTCCTCCCCCCCAACCACTGGCCTATAAAGAGGTCAATACAGGCAGTAGCGATAGATCTTTTTAAGACTACGGACAACATTATTATTTGAAGAAAACACCCACATGTGATCGATTGTAAGAAGTTCAGTTGAATAAATATTAACTTTGAAAATATTAAAGACATTTCATTTACATTTGCAGGTTTATTTACAGAAGCAATAAGAAAATGTACACATAAAATTTGTCAGAGCTTTAAAATTTATGTTAGCAAAAATGAGATGTCTCATTTTTCACTGCTTTAAACTGTCTATCGATGCTTCTTATTTTTCACTGCTTGAAACTCACCAATTAATGCTTTTCTTTATCATTTGAAGAAGCATATGCCCTTAAGAAAATACTGCAACATATCCTTTGCAAAATGTGCAGCTAAACACCTTATCTTAATCAACAGTTTCTTACTCTCTATTTTTTCCCATATGTTTTGTTAGCAAGCCTCTTTTTATTTCATCCTGTGTGTTCCAGTACAAGAACATTCAACATAGCTATTTTGTTAATGTTTTCTCAGTGTGAATCCTATCCACAACCAGCAACAAATAAAGAACAAAGTGTTCAAGATGAAATGCTGACACTCTCTAAGTGTCTAAACAACACTGGTAAAACAAGAGAACTTTTGTGGTAATCAGTAAAATAAGTTTGCTTTGAACAAAACAGGAGGGGTAACATTCATATATAAAGTAATTGTCTGGCTCAGCACAAAAGATTTCAAATGTCCAGTTTGAGAAAGATGTAAAGTGCCTTTCATCACAAAAGTTTCAGCTTCCCTGTAACTTTGTCGACAGCGTCAACCTTGCCAAAGATGCCCAGTACTGTGGCAGATCCTGGCGCCACCTGGGTGTGACCCGCGTCATGAACAACACAGCGGTCCAGTTTGAGGTTTGTGGCTTGTGTTGCTAATGCCTCCAGCTGTTGAGTGTTGTCGCCTTTCAACACAATCTTGGTTTCTCTGAGGAAAACAGAAGCATGGAAGTAAAGGATACCTTTCCCCACCTTCAAGCATACAGTACTAGAGCTATATTTTTTTCACCCATCGGCACTCGATGGGTGATGTGGTCAACATCAGGCCGGCTGCCTTTACTTCCTAGGACTTTACCTGGTACCTGCTCAAGGCTGGATTAACCTGGGAGCTAAAGTAATTTTTGAAAAAAGTCCACTTTCATTAAAATTCAAACCCACAAGCTTGGGATCCACAGGCGAGCGCCTAGCAGCTATACCACAGCGGCTCTCGGTCACAAGATAAGAAAAGGGGGAAAAATATATCAGAGGAAAAGTCAACATCAGAGGACACACTCAAAATCATTACTTAGCAGGTCCCTTACAAAAGATCTCTCCTACTGCAGCTCCCATGAAGGAATCTCGACCTCTCAATAGCCCCCCAACCTCTTACACTTTTCAGCACAAGGTGCCTCCTATGCCCAATGCCTATCTTCCTGCCCCATGGTGGCCTGGAGGGTGTGGTTTCAGGAAAACAAGGCAGAGGCAGACCTTGTGGATACAAGTCATTTAATATACATTGGCTATGAAAGCACACAGGGCTGTAGAACAGGCTCGAGAGAGAGAGATATTTTGGCGTTAGTGAACAGACTGCGATGTTCTGTAATGGACCTGCTGACTGAGGATCTGGCGTAGGATCAACTTTAGCTGAGAAATTAGACAAGCCACTTTAAGTGGCTGGTAAGGATCTGCCATAGGATCAACTTTAGATGAGAAATTAGACAAGTCACTTCAAGTGGCTGGTAAGGATCTGCCATAGGATCAACTTTAGATGAGAAATTAGACAAGTCACTTTAAGTGGCTGGTAAGGATCTGCCATAGGATCAACTTTAGCTGAGAAATTAGACAAGCCACTTCAAGTGGCTGGTAAGGATCTGCCATAGGATCAACTTTAGCTGAGCACAAGCAGATGCCCTCCAACTTCAACGAAAACTCCTAAACAATCAACTCTTATGACATAACTGTTTGGGAAGGCAGTGGGACTATTCTTTTTCCCCACAATGCGGCCCCATAACCCACACAGGAAGTCCAGGCCCCATAACCCACACAGGAAGTCCAGGCCCTCTAACCCACACAGGAAGTCCAGGCCCTATAACCCACACAGGAAGTCCAGGCCCTATAACCCACACAGGAAGTCCAGGCCCTCTAACCAACACAGGAAGTCCAGGCCCTATAACCCACACAGGAAGTCCAGGACCTATAACCCACACAGGAAGTCCAGGCCCTCTAACCCACATAGGAAGTCCAGGCCCCATAACTCACACAGGAAGTCCAGGCCCCATAACCCACACAGGAAGTCCAGGTCCTATAACCCACACAGGAAGTCCAGGCCCCATAACCCACACAGGAAGTAAAGAACACAATACATTATCTCACCCCAAATGGCCCCAGGCTAGAAGCATTTCGGCCTTAACATCATCTTCTATCATGTTGCGGAACAAGTTCAAGGCAGCATGTGCCACTTGGGCAGCAATCTTTCCCACGCCCATGTTGAGTTCGCTGTTGACCACAAACACCATCTTGAAGCTGTCAGTGGTCAGAAACTCATCGTCATCGCTGCTATCACTGCCCTGCAAGTCAGCCTGGAACAAAGTTCAGTCCTTATACAACTGTTGACATGGAAGAATCAAATTTAGTTATTCAGTTACAGGTTTCTCCTAAACAATCTGGCTACTGATATTCTGGTTCCTTCAGATTTCCAGCATGTATTTCGGAGTGTGTTTTCAAATTAAAAGTCTGAAGACGTTTTTTTTTTTTTGAAGAAACCATTTTACTCTTCTTCTTAAAGTCCATGCCTGTCCACAACCTTCTGTCTCATGTACTTTTAATCAACTCTGGCACAGATGATCCTCCATACTATTTTACTCAGATGAACTAAATCTCTGTAGTACTGTTTTGTTTAGGTGATGAACATTAAAATTTCATTTTCTTTTCACTTAGTATTTAATCTTTCTTTAAAGGATGTACAGGTAATCAACTTGCCTTCTTCGACATATTGTAGTGGGCCTATTCCTTTCCCCCCCCAAAAATTGGCTGTCACAGAACCCACGCAGAAAATATAAGATAGATGAAGGGCCCTTTTGATGCCAGAACCACATCATAGCAACAGCATATCAATAAAGCTGAACGTACAAATCACTGGTATCATCTATCTTCTTATACAGATGTGAGAGTTGTACTCTGAATGTGGGAAGGGAAAGGAGGATTCAGACTTCCAAAGATAAATGCTACAGACAAATTTTACAAATTAGCTATTCAGAGCATAAAACTAACAAAAATGTAGGAGACAAAATGAAAAACTTAGCAAAAGGACATTTGCAAAACAACAAAAAAAAGGGGGGGGGAAGAAGAATCTAGAATGACAACATCAAGAAACGGTCTGGACTACATCATTTCACATTTGTTTATCAATCGGAAGACAGCCAAAGAGGGCAAGTTTGGTGTGTTAGTGTTTCCATCAATAAACCTCCACGACACTAATGGGTCAAGGATTTTTCTATATATCTCGAGAGGGATACAACCCTCATATTTTTATCGGTCCATTGGCACTCAGTAGGTGATTAAATCAGAATCATGTCAGGCACCTTTATTTCTCAGGACATTACCTGGTACCAAATTTCTGCTGTGCTGACCTAAGAGCTAAAGTCAGTTCTGACCCAGAAAAATCATCTGTCTGCTTGCAGATCTGAACGGAGAATCCTCAAAAATTATTGCTTGCTAGTTGTACCCCACCAGGACATTACATAAGCGATAAAGACCCAGTGACACAAAGTGCCACCATGGGGATGAGGAACACCCATGGAGAGGTCCTAGAAACCCCTTTCAGCTGTTACGGCCACAATTGTGACCCGGCTATATTCAAAGCCAGGGAGGGGCTTCATATAACAAAAAATTGCATCCCACAAGGGGTCGATTTGGATTAGTCATCTCGGAAATGACAGGCGGGTTACTCTTAGAAAGAGGAGTCATAAGATCGCACCTCTAGTGGAGCATCCAGGTTTCTGTCTCCATTCTCCAGCAGCCAGCCAGCAGCAAGATCAGCACTCTGGTTGCCTGTGTAGAACAAAGCCTGCAAACACAGAGAACATAAAACATGAGCAAAGGAACAAAGTCTACAACAAATTACATAGTGATGTGTGCAGAAAGCAAAGCCAGATGATTTGGTTACTGACTGATTATTGTCAGTCTGATCAATGTCAGCTACAAAAAAAAATATTGCCAGGTGATGATTTTCAATCCTTTAAGAGGGAGAGAGCAGTAGTCGGTGGATGGTGGATGGGGGGAGGGGAGGGGGTGATAACTGAAATTGTTAACTTAAAGAGTTTAACACATGATTTTAAAGATCTCATTACTTAATTTGTTTATATTTTACTAACGCTACCTCCGCTATTCTAATTTTTTACAACTTACTATGTTTTTTTAAAGTACAGTAGTAGCTTTACTTCCGTCTCCTATAAAAATACAAACAGCTTTAGCAAGTGATAATCAAATAACCATTTTTGTTACTGTGCTAATAACACCATTTAAACGACCACTAATTCAAGACACAATTCTATAGTGCGTATTCTAAAGTCGGAAAACCAGACTATCTCTATATCTGTGCAGACATTAACTATATTAGACACATGCAATTTCTATTGTCTTTCTTGTCCAAAAAACTTTGATGAGGGAGAGAATAGTAGGTGGATTTGGTGGTGGTGGGGGGGTGGGGATCGAAGACTTTATCTGAGCAGAAAATGATTGCGACAGTAACCATAATAGACACGTGCGATTTCTATTTTCTTTCTTTTCCATTTAGCCAAACTATGCCATAGCAACGCCTGGCAGGGTACAGCTAATAATAACATAATAATGACCACAGAAAAATGAAGCTTGCCCACATTATTTAAAAATCATCAGGCTAAAAAAGATCGTGGTAAAGTGGTCACACCATTTGCCTTGCACTCTGAAGGTTGTGGGTTCACTCCATGGCCGTGTCAGTTCACGAGGGCAATTTTTATGGGGATCCCTGGGGATTACCAATAGAGCTACAGAGCTTGTGCTTTGTGCAATGCTCTCGACAATGGCTAGCCATTCTCTGGAGAGAGAGACTTAAACCCGATGCAATTAAGTCGATCCTCTTGACTTCAACTTTTTGATTCAAACGAATGACAACTGAGTTAGCAGACAAGCAACTATTTTACACAGCTGAAAATAATGTCTAAACAGGAATACCTGTCTGGCACTGATGCAACTTAATGCCTAGAACTGTGCAAGACATCCATACTGTTAAGTCTTTCTACGTATATTAGAGTTAAAACAGTGATAAATCATAGTTTGAGGCACTCCTTGGTACTGAAAACGTTAAACCTGGCTGCTTTTCCTGCCAAAATCACATGTTAACAAAATCATTGAGGTTAACAAAATCATTGATGTTAACAAAATCACTGATGTAATCAAAATCACTGCTCAAAATCATTGATGTTATCATTAATGATTTTTGGTTGAGGCATTTCCATAAAATAAGACTGCCTAAGTATTTCATGCACCAATATCTTCAGTCAATCATTCCTTGCATAATTTTTTTAATTGAGAACCTGTTCGACTGTTTTCAAAAATCTTTGCCTTCAAAATAATACTCATATCCAAGATTAACTAGAAGTTAAAGTCAGTATTATTTGAAGTCAAACAATTAAACTAAGTTCACTCAGGGACCTTAGACTTGTTGCACAAATTGAATCCTGCAAACACTCTGTTTTACAGATCTGGCATACTTGTATGTGCAAACTGTTGGTTCCTCAGGCAGATGCACTCCGGCTTCAGAGGGAACATCCCAAATTAGTCGTCTTTTACGACAAGCTTTTTTTTTTAGAGAGAGGTAGCAGCAAATCAATCTCCCCACCCCCTCCCAATGGAGCCCCATAACCCACAGTGGAACAAGTGTAACTCACCCTTATTGCAGCATTCCGAGAAAATCCTAAGCTCATGATCTGGCCAACTGCCTCTTCGTTAGGACTAAACAGTGGCTGGTTGGTGCCACGGACTACGTCCTCTTCTCTTGCGGCAGACATAATGAACCATGCAGTTTTTAGTCCTTATTGTGGAAAAAAAATTACCTCAATAGCATAAAGTTAAATTTTAATGTTTTTTTTTTTTTTTTAAATGTATTTCATTTTTAAAATATGCCAGTGAATGTTGCAGAGCCAATAAAGATGTGATGCTCAGCCTTGTGTCAAAAGCAGGGCACTGCAGATGCCTGGGACTCCACTGTGCCAGTGTGTAGCAACAGTGACTAAATTAACAGATGAGTCAACGATAGACTGTCTGGAACACAAGGTGTTTATATGTAATGTTTACTCTCTTTCCACAGTGTAAAAGTTCATCTTCGCCACTATGGATTTATCTAGGGCTCTGACTGGAGATCACTCTGGCAAAGTGATTGTACAAACACACTGCGGTAACTTACTGACCCCATTCTGCCTACATACCATACTATGCGATCATCACTGATATATTCATCTCCAGGCAAACATTTTCACTTAGCACAGTGGATCAGGCATCCACCTTGATAAACATGGCCACGGTCTCATGGCTGGCTGATTGGAAATAAGACTTCAGGCTCACTCTGCATCGACTGACTGCTGCGCCACATCACAGAATGAATTAACTTCCTCTCTCCCTGAGTTACCTTCTGCCCATGCAAGCAATTCTGTTCACATGGTTCACACTTTCAGGTAAGACTCGCTTCTTTGCCTTTCATGACTTCTCATGACGAACCATTCTCACTTGTTCAAACTATCTTTTGCTATGAGTTTTCTACCTGGCCTTTCACCGTAAATTTATGCTAATTAGAAATTCACTATGAGGTCAACTATATTTCAGCTATACTCTCCCTCTATTCTCTCTCTTATAACAACAACAAAAACCGAACACAAAATTACATCCTTTTGAAAACAAACGCCTGAGGAAAATGGGATGAATTCAAGAGGAGTGAAAAAATAAGAGAAATGCCTGGGCAGCCACCAGTATCAACAGTTATAAGACAGAGAAAATGGCGCTATACTAGACACATTCAGAGAAGAGATTAGGAAAAAATTACAAAACAGACACTGAAATTATAAACAGAGGAATTGAGGAAACGAAAACGTTTAAGAGAAACCCTAAGGTGAATGCTAAGGAGAGAAGCCAAAGTTGCTAGACTGGATTTCATCCTCATCCATGATATCGAAGTGATTGCACAGGATAAAATGGAATGGAAAGATGGACTGCTAGCCCTATGTGACATATAAAGGCACAACAGGACAATAAATAAACATAAAATAGCATGTTCATTTGCCATGATAAGGTCCCTGTATGGGTTCTGGGACCCCATTTTATGAAGAGAAAACAAAATAGATCCACTGTCACTGTGGACTGTCTGAAGTCGGAGTGCATCTGCCTTGAGAGCAAGGAACCAGCAGTCTGCATACAAATGAGTCAGATCTGTAAACGGATGCACAACGCAACACTGTCCAGCAGTGGATAAACAACCAGAACTTTCCGCCAGAGTTTACAGCTGTCCCCTTGCCCCCTTCCCCACCACCTTTAACAAGCAGGACCATAGCAGCACTCCAGATCTGTGATATATACATAGTTGCACTGATCTAATAAACCCTTTAGGCTGAAAAGGATTTCGTTGTCCATTGTATATATATTATAAACTATGCATCTTTTTAATTTCTGTGATTATTATATAATTATACTTAAGACCGCAATTACAATTAATTAATTGTTTTGGCAAGTCCGGAGGAGTTAAATGAAATGATAAAGTATTAATATTAAAGTCCATATGATATGATTCAATTAATAATTATATATATTCCATAAATTTAGAATACAGTTAAATAATTAAATTAAGAATAAAATAAAGTGACCTTGCTTGCGACACATTTTTTATGCTCGCATAAAGCTGTTACGGCATATAAGAATTAAATACTAAAACATAACAAACCGTTATTACCTTCCAATTAACTGTAACAGAGGAGTGTAAACTTCCAGGCCTAGACGAGAGAGTTGGAGCAAGTCCAACAGTTAGAGATGAGCGTTATGTTTGTGACTCCAGCTATGGGCGCTACCATCTTTACAGGGAATTGTGGGTGCTTAATTGTAAGTTGGTAGATTAGTCAGAACTTATTTGGAAGCTGCGGAGATGTGGTTTTTATATACGAATGATGAGAACACTTGACAGATAAAAAGAGTAATGTAAACGTCTTGAAAGAAACTGACTCACGATGAGAACTGATTGCCCACGTCAGAAAGAGACAATTTACATTCTGTGGTCATGTGATGAGAAGGAGAAAATTGGGGTACATCGTGACAGTAGGAAAGTTGGAAGAGAGGAGAGGCATAGGGAGACCGAGAGAGAAGATGCTGGCCGTTTTTACATCACATGAAGGATCATCTGTGTCAGGCCTGACTAGAAGTGCACGAGAGAGAAGGTTGGGGATTGACATGACTACCAACGCCACATGGCATGAACTTTAGGAAGAATTGTAAGAAGATTCATAAACTTAACAGGATTTCAGGAAACGTGCTGGTCCTTTAACATTCTTGTCGCACTTTCAGCTTAAGAGCGAAAGGATCACCTGATAATTGCTCCCTCATCTGTCATTTGTGCCATCCAGTGACAAACTCAGAGAAGTGAATGCCAATCCATTGCTGACAAAAAAAATAGAAATAGACTGGTCTTTGTTTATTGTTCGTGCAAAGATCATCTTTATCGCAAATTGAAAAGGACCACAAGTGCTCTCATTTTCTCCTGAGTATGTCTTCAAGTGTTTTCTAACAACTCCACTTCTTTTTTGATGACTGTAACTGTTTCTGTATATACCCACCAGATATCTCCAGGACCATCATACTGATATTTGAACAATAAATGTTATGCACTTATGTTAAAAATCTACCCAAAAAAGTGTTTTAGGGTCCTCGTCGGTGCAACGAAGTACGTGCACTGCGCTGAGATTCTTCAGACAGGCTTGAGTTAGAAGTAGAACGGAGAACTTATGGGTTTACACCCGTTTGCCATATTGATGATTCATCGACTAAACTAAACTAAAACTAAACACACACAGGAGGAAAGGCAAGACGGGTCTACATTCAGACTTCTACTGGCATTATCAGAACTGGAACTCTGCGTTAGCTTCTGAGATGTGGGACTGTTAGTTTTTGAAATGTCAAGAATGCTGTGATGTCGTTTCTCAGCTTAGCACAGGACTAGAATAATGTCATTATTCTAGTGTTCAATACATTGAAAAAAAAATTTTTATTTGAACAAAACGAAACAAAATTGTTAAAAAAAAAATAGGCACTTATGTTGGCCAGACTTTTCCGCCTCAGAATCAGTGTGTGCTTTTAATCGGACTCACACACTGACTGGTATTAAACCCCAACAGGACCGTACGACGAGCGATAAACACCTGGTGACACAAAGTGCTATCATTCGGATTGAAATCGCTGGAGCGCAAGTCCGAAAAACCGCGATCAAACTATAGGTTATATTTAGGGTCCCTGACGACAGCCGGGTGGGGTTTTAAAATAACAACAACAAAAAAGCTGGCTCTCATTTTTGGGCGAATGTGTAATGCTCTTAAAGTTTTTTTTTTTTTTTTAATAACTTTCCCTCTCCAGGAATGTAATCCCTCTTACTGACTCAAAGCGTCACTAATAGGATGTGAATGCATCAAAAGCACATCCTAGAAACCCCGTTCACTCGCATGAAACGATAATATCGGATTACCCTACGGCAGCGGTTCTCAAACTGGGTGCCGCGTGCGTGTGCCAGGAGTGTCGCGGCAATAATCAAGAATGTTTTAGAATCTGCTTGGAATCAGCGAAGACAGGCAGTTTTAAACATAAATACCGTGAAGGAAGGCAAGAAGAGTTCTGGACGCAGGTGTATTCAGAAAACAATGCTATTGGCGAGGCTGCAGTACATTCTCAACGTACGCTTACATTACAAAATAGATATAGTTGTACCCCCACCAGGACATTACACAAGCGATAAACATCCGGTGACAAAAAGTGCCAACATGCGGATGAGGATCACCCGTGGAGAGGTCCCAGAAACCCCTTTCAGCAGTAAGGTCATATCTATGTTTAAAAAAAAATTTAAGGACCCTTTTCCACGCGGCGTATAGGGCATATAGGGCTAGACCAATATTTTATAGACCAATCGGCACAAGATGGGTGATGTGGTCAGCATTACGCCGGCCGCCTTTAATTCCCGGGACTGGACCCGGTACCCACTCAAGGCTGGGTCGACCTGAGAGCCAAGGTCATTTTTGAAATTAAGTCCGGCTTCGCCAGGGAGCGAACCCACGACTTCCGATCCGGAAAGAGCGTCTAGCTGCTCCGCCACGGCGACTTCCTCATTCTATGGCTAGGTCATATCACTGTCCCTGCTATGTTTCAGGGCTCCCTGGCAGAAGCCAGGGTGGGGCTTCAATAACAAAAAAAAAAAAAAAATGCATCCTACATGTAGACGACTTTTATTGATAAATTAAAAAAAAACACACAGATACATAATGTTGATCTGTTGTCTTGGGTGTTGTCGTTTCTCTTGAACCTGTCGATGTTTCTGTGGACTGACATCAATGTTGCTTTCTTTAGCAAATAAATCTGCTAAATGATCAGCCGCCTGTTTTTTGTTGTTGTTGATAGGATTACTCCTTCTAAATATATTGTAGTATTTGCCTTTCTTCCTGTACTCTCGTCATTAATTTGTTTTACCAGCCTTCACATCTTCCTTGTGTCTCTTTCAAAGTTTAGAGAATTTTTTTCTTCTTGCCAACATTCCCTTCTAGCCTGCAGTTTGGCACTTTAAAATGTGGCCTTTGCATTCTGGTATTTATGGAACTGCTCTTAACAAGGTCTGATTTCGGCTTCAGGAAGACTGGTGAACGAACATCGAACTGGGGCGAGCAGTGCTTACTACAAGAAGACTGGTGAAACCACATCGAACTGGGGCGAGCAGTGCTTACTGCAAGAAGACTAGTGAACGAACATCGAGCTAGGGCGAGCAGTGCTCACTACA